CAAGGGAAACTGATGCTTCAGAAAGATGTCCCACATTTATCCTGTGGCACTCAGAGTACCCCAGGTTCAGATAATATGAGGAAGATTCCAGCTGTCAAGTTCAGTTTCCCAAGATCTATTCCACAGAAGATGAGCAAATCTCACTTCAGAGACCACTGAATGAAGGGCAGTCTGGTCCCAGAACCATGGAGAATTAGAATATGAGGTGGAGAACTCAGAAAAAAATAGAAGTAGAAGCCTGGAAAGTAGAAGCCTGGGAGAAAAACCAAACCAAACCCATCCCCCATTGCCACCCAGAGATACTGTTAATGTTTTGCACTCACGGGGGAAGTGTAGGCTTTCCCCATTGTCCGTGTCTATGTGAAGGGAGTGAGGCAGCCTGAAACCTCTTGCTCCTGGGTCCCATAGTCTCCATTCCCCTTCCAGCTGGAAATTTGTGCTGTGACCAGAGGAACCAGAAATGGGGTGACAACGCTTAGGGGACTGGATTGTAAGATCAAAGGCTGGTCTTGCAGTAATGACAGTTCCTAGGCAGATTGTGACCTCATTACATTCCACTCCTCCTGGTCGGGGGTAGGGACCACATCAGCACGATGTCCGCATTGCCACTCTACGATGGGGGAGGGAAACACCGGGTTGGGACCCAGGTCCTTGGAGATGCCAGTGCAAAGAGCCCAGGGAGGTCGACCTTGAGGCAGCAGGAGTGGAAGGCAGAGTCTGCAGCAGGGAGCCCCAGGAGTCACCAGCCCAAAGTCTCCCAGGGACAACTGGCCAGAGTGGGGCTTGGGGCTGCGGGACCCAGGTCCTTGGAGATGTGAGCCCAAAGAGCCCAGGGAGGTCGAGTTTGGGGCAGCAGGAGGTGAGGGCCCAGTAATGGAGCAGGAAGTCCCAGGAGTCACCCACCCAAAGTCACCATAGAGTGATTCGCGAGGTCAGGGACTGGGCTGCTTGATGAAGGGTGGGGCTGACTGACAAGACTTTGGTGGGGGGATCCCAGAGGCGCCGGGGTTGGGGGGCTCAGTTCGGTGTGCCTCAGGAGTGGTATGGATCCTGGCAGTCTGGTCGTCAGAGGGGATCTGTGGCTGGGTTGGGGGGCCATGACCTGGTGCATTTTTACCTTTTCCTTTGCTGCAGCCAATCTGCTCTTTCGAGTTTCTTCTGCCACCGCTGGGTGGGGAGGGAGGCAGGGTTGGGGCCACGTCAGTGAAATCCCAGTGAGCACTGATCAACACCTCCAGTCGCCTAACAGGCAGCTGTGGGACTGAGCCAGGCGTAACCAGGGCCCCAGTAGAATGCAGAATAGGGGCGTGTCCTTAATGCTGCAAGCCCATTGATCAATGAGAAAGATGAAAGGGAAAGGGGGCGTGGCCAGGCAACAGTGTGTCCAGAGGGACCTGTGGTTCACAAGGAAAGCTACCCACACAACCGCTGTCCCCGCCCACTCTGGGAGAGGGGAAGGGCCAGCTTTTGCTTTAAAACCTTTAAAATTTAAAAAAATTTATGTATGTATACTTTCTCTCTATATATGTGTGTCTCTGTGTGTGTATCTATGTGTGCCTCCAGAACTGTCTTCATTACCCAGCTTCTATGCAAGGTCTATGATTTTGGCCTACATTTTTCATCTTCAAATACAGCACAAAAATTACCAGTATTACCTTAACTGAGATACAGATCCTATAAAAATGGAAAATCCATAGCATGCTTGATGATTAATGAAGTAGACTATATTATCTAACATTCTGATAAGACAAAGTAATCACAATGATTTCTCTTTTTTAGGAAAATGTTTCTCTTATTCTCCTAGGTTATTGTTAAGTTTTTTTTCTTAAACAAGAAATATGTCTAATATCTGTAAAAAACACAAAGCTTTTGGGCCAGATGTGGTGGCTCATGCCTGTAATCCCAGCATTTTGCAAGCCTAAGGCAGGTGGATCACCTGAGGTTAGGAGTTTGAGACCAGCCTGGCCAACATGGTGAAATCCTGTCTCTACTAAAAATACAAAACTAGCCAGGCATGGTGGTGGGTGTCTGTAATCCCAGCTATTCAAGAAGCTGAGGCAGGAGAATCACTTGAACCTGGGACATGGGAAAATACAAAATAAATTTTAAAAGCTTTCAATTTAATAAGCACTCAAAGCTCTTTACCGGTTTAAAACAAATACAAGGCCCGGTTTTCTAGCATCACCTGTCCTCTCTAAGCCTTGCAAATGAAACTAAATTTCTCACTTGATGCTTGGCTATGACTTGCAATCATGAAAACTAAGAATTGTGTTATGTCACTGTGTACTGCTTGTTACTTGAATTTCACACAAAGCTGGGATCAAGGGTTGAATCTCTCATGATTTGCTCCATAACCTGTGTGCTTCTTATCCCAGACCAAACTAAGCTTTTGTCTAGAGTTCTATAATTTACAGGTAGTAGACAAGAGTGGTTCTCAGTAATGTAGTCTCTGCACTAGCAGCACCAGAAGCACCTGAGAACTTTTTAGTGCAAATTCTCAGGCCCTACCCTGGACCTGGTGAACCAGAAACTCTGGAGTAGGGCTTTGCAATCTGTGCTGCAGTCATCCCTCCAGGTATTTAAGAGTGTCTGCCATACAGCAGGTAGAAAAATGTGTTTCCTTCTGTAGGTCCAAAGCCAAGGCTACTATATGTTCTATCTCGATATGAAACAATGACATACAATTAAAACACATAACTCTCCTTCCTATTCCCACCCTCCATCCAGTGTGTTTTATTTTTATGAGTTCAATAAGAAAACAAGTGGCAATCAGAAGTTTAGTCTAAAAAGTATATTTACAAGTATTAGTTCTCATCCAGCCTGATCTCATACAAGACTATTTACATCCTCTTATAGCTAAAGTTTTATAAAATTATCTTCACAATGTAAGTCTCAGGCACACTAGGAGTTCTATAATAAAATACCAAGTAGATCAGAATGTCCAAACTTACTAGAGAAAAAAAGTGGAATCATTGGCTATATTTCTAAATTGCATTCAAAGGAAAATTAAGTTCTGAATTTTTTTCACCTTCATGCTTCCAAATTAATAGAATTCAACCAGAACACTCCATTTCTTCAAAGCCTCTAGCCAGGCAGTTTTACTTTATTACTTCTTGCTTTCAATGGATATAGGCAGAGTCCTGGTAGGCACATTTTGTATACCTGCAAAGGTGCAGAACTAAACTGTTCCATCTGTTCCATGTTAAAACAAAAGTCCTGTAAACCTTGGATGGTGAGTGTAATACTTCAGCACTAGCACCAAAGCCTCAAGCATGAAAAGATACCAAGAACACCACTAGCAAACAAAACTAAACTCTCGGCTGGGAGCAGTAGTTCAAACCTGTAATCCCAGGACTTTGACAAGCCAAGGTGGGAGAATTACTTGAAGTCAGGAGTTCAAGAGTAGCCTCGGCAGCATAGTGAATTCACATCTCCACAAAAAAATTTAAAAAATGGCTGAGTGTGGTTGCACACACCTGTAGTCCTAGCTACTCAGCAGGCTGAGGTAGGAAAATTGCTTCTGCCTAGGAGTTTGAGGCTGCAGTAGCTATGATTATGGCACTGCACTCCAGTCTGGGTGACAGAGCAAGACCTAGATAATGACATTCTCTCCTGCTCCTGTTTACATGAAAATCACTAAGTTAAAATGCTTTCAAATTTGGCAGGATAAAAATTAAGTGAAATGTGACTTTGGAGTTTGGAATGAGAAGGAAGGAAGAAAGGAAGGAAGGAAGGAGGAGAGGGAGGGAGGGAGGGAAGGAAGGAAGGAAGGGGAAAAGGAAAAGGAAAAGAAAGGAAGAAGGAAGAAGGAAGGAAGAAAGGAAAAGGAAAGAAAGGAAGGAAAGGAAGGAAAAAAGGAAGGAAAGAAAGAAAGAAGAAAAGAAAGGAAAAGAAAGGAAAAGAAAGGAAAGGAAAAAAGGAAAGGAAAGGGAAGGAAAGAGAAGGGAAGGAAGAAAGAAAAGAAAAAATAAAATGAAATAACAAATACGTACTGGGAAAAAGTTTTTGAAACCTCAATGACAAAAGGTTTGTATCCTTAGCCTATAAAGAAATCTTTAAAATTACTTAGAAAAAAACCAAATGATTTGCAGCAGAAAATGCACAATGGAGAAACAGGCACTTCTCACAAAAATAAAAATGGCCCATAGATCTATAAAAAAGATTCAAAGCACTAGAAATCAAGGCAATGTCATGAAAACACTGATATTTTCTGTATAAAGGCAGCAAAGGTGAAAAATGGAAGGGGGAACCTGGAGCTCTGTCCCTCTTGGTGGGAATATAAACTAAGCCACTTTTCCTGGAGGATAATTTGAAAATTTCTATTAAAGACTCTAAAAATTATTACCCTCCAGAAATTCTACTTCTGTGAATTCAGTCCAAAAATGCTTGCTCGAGTCCATTAAAATATATATATAAGAAAATTCACCTCTGGGGTGACAATGATTAACTTAATATACATCCAGCTATTAAAAATGATGATGCCAGGATATATTTACTGCCACAGAAATATGCCCAAAATATAGTAAGTGACAAAAGACTATCTATTATGATCCCACTTTTTAAAATGTTTACATGCATAAAAAAGTATACAAAGCAACAAACCAGAATGTTTTGAGTGACAAATTAAAGATTTTTCTTAATATTTGTCATCCAAATTATTATAAAAAGAATGTGATTTCCTTTATAATCAGGGAGAAGTGTTATTTTCATTTATATTTAAATCTCTTTTCTTTTTCTTATTTTTTCTCCCATATGTATCCCATGTAGGCTAGAATCCCTGTCTCTTGAGGGAAATCAGTCCATTTTTGGGAAGTGCACTACATAAAGCTGCTCCATCTTCCTTTCATTTTAAGAGATCTGGAGACATTTTTATTTCAAATTGTTTTATTGTTTTCAGAATATATATTTTTAAATATATGAAACTGAGGAAAAGACAAAGGAAAGGCTGACTCCCTACCCTTCTAGGGGTACTCTTCCAATATTTGCTGCTATTGTTATGTATTAATATTCACTGGGTACTAAAAAGATGGGCAGCCCCTTAGATCCTTTTTTCTTATCTCTTTCTCATAATCTTACTTCATTCCTTCATTCACTTATTTTTTAAAGGGTCATGTGTACAAATATATAGTTCAGAAAAATTTTTAAATATAACTATTTATAAAAGTATGTGCAACATCCCCTTCACAGTCTTATTCTCCTTCCACAGCCAAACATTTTTAATTCATTTCTTATATATCATTTCAGAATTTATCTTTGCAAATACACATGTATATTCTTATTCTACTCTTCTCTCTCAACACAAAAATTAGCACACCATACATACGATACCATTCCTTCTCCCTTTTAAAAAACACACACAATAGGTCTGAGTTCTTCTACATGACTACAGAGGTCTTTCTTATTCTTCTTTTCAGCTGCACAGCATGCATCGTTTGGATGTACCACAGTTTACTTAGCCAATTCCCAGTTGGTGGACACTGATATCATCCCTATCATACTCTTACAAGCAATAATGCCAAGTATAACCACCCACACACACCAAGTTCATTTCTGAATCTGCCTTTCATGAAGCCTCTGTTTGAATCACCACAAGGTCACAAGGCTGAAAATTAGCCCCTTTCTTAGTTTTCATTATGTACAGCAGTATGTAACAAAAGACTCCGTTGGGCAAAGCAAACGTACTCTTTGGAGATTTACTTCATAACAATAAATGGATAAACAGAACACCAAGGAGAACCATTTCTATTTAACCATGTGCATGTATGTATACAATCATGCATATGCGTAGGAAGTATAAATCAATCCATCAAAGCATTAAGCATTGTCTCAGTATGGTGAATCTATGGAGTGCTTTGTAGACCACCCTCCTTGCCTATCAATTCTTTCTAATTTCACAACAGTAAATATGTATACTTTTGCAATATAAAATTTCAAAAACTGCTAACTCAAATTAAGTTGCATATATTCCTTCAGTCTGTCCTATATTTGTATGGTGCTCCAGAGTGCTCATATATCACTTCATTAAAAAAATTTATTTATTTTTCAAATATAGAGATGGCAGGGTCTTGCTCTGTTGACCAGGCTGGTCTTGAACTCCTGGACCCTCCTGGA